TTCAGTCGGTAATTAGGATCTAGAAGAAACAAGCACTTCTATGAAACAACTGGCTTGACCCAAAGCTATGGTAGTAGAAATGGGACAGGTTTTGAGGTATGTTTGTTTCAGCCTCTTTCAAGAGCCATTGAATGGAACATATTTGGCAAAGACTGTCTCCCCTTCATGGCTCAGCTGAAGGTCAGGGCCACATGGCAAACTGATACATGACAGGAGAGGGCTTGCTAAACCTTAATTTGACAGCAGGCTGTCATCTCAGCTCTAAGTGACATAAGGTTAAAACAAGTACCTCAGCTTGTAGTAAGAAAACAGCTACTGTTTTTTCTGTGTATCAGTGTCCTGTTCAGTTATATGTCACCTGTCCTCTTGTGTCCATCCTGTCTCCCTTCCCCTGTTATCATTGTCTCTTTTGTGTCCTCTCTCCCTGCCTCCATTTATTCCTTTTAGAAAGTTTTTTCAGAGTTATTCTGAAATGTCAAAAGAGTTTGACATTTCAGAACAGTGACCCTGCCTTTGAGATATGCTATGGCTATGAAAATACATACCAACATGTTCAAAACTCAGACACCTTAGCAGTGGAACCTGAGGGGGTATTACTACTCTCCAAGAGGGCAGGCAGTTGAACTTCTCATCCTTAAGACACCAAATTCAATGCAACTTTTAACATTTTGGGGTCTTAGTTCAGCTGTATTTGAATGCATAGTTTTCACCATATAGACTAAAACTGCTCTATTGTTTACATGTTCATATTGAAATTACTAAGGAAACACACTGACCTTCCGTGCTATTTTATAACACAAACGAGCATATTAATAAAGTCTGATTGCATCTGGAACAGACCACCCTGGGCATTCATATCCTGCTTCTGGGGAGTCTACAAAAGGTGACCAGGAAGAAAAGCCTTTGGGAGTTTCAAATAATTCTAAAAGGATTTATACCTTCACTGGGAAGGAAAAATTAAGTGAAAAGCATTGTTTTTAATTGTGTCAAATAGGGGGGGGTGGTGGTATGGCAAATCTGTAACAAGCACTTTTCAATATTTGTAATAATCTGTATTGCCTCCGGATGCTATAATTCAATTTAATTCCATCAATTTAATGTTAATAAAAAACAAGCTACATGAGAACAGCAGAAAGAAAACTGGAGAGAAATCTTTCAGATCTGACTTCAGAGCTCTTGCCTAGCTTAGTTGGTATCTCTGGTGAACGGTTTCTTATGGCTCTATTTATAGCTGCAGTTTCAGCTGAATTGCTTTTCATAAATGGGCTTACTATCTCTCTGTGCTCAGACTAAACTACAGAAAAGCACTTGCTTGGTGGCAAGCAGGTCTCTGCTTAGGAAGCTGATGTAAGGCAGCTGTTGGATTTTCAATTCCACTGCTCACTTACCCTCTGCTAATTTGGCCCATGCTACAGAAAGAAGAGGATCTTAATTGGTAGAGGGACATTATTAGATAAGCAGATGGAAATTGTCTCAACTTATTAAAAAAAAAACCACCCACACCAGTCTTCAGATTATAAAGCCTCCATGCTACACTTGCAAAGAAGCTGGAGTGTGTATAATTCAGTGGATTTATAAAGGGAGAGTAGCAGCTACATAATAGAGATGAGACTTTTGTAGGCCTGAATTATTGCCTGTCTCCAAGATGCCTGAAACAATCAATTGTGAAGATTTACAGTACTCTGAAAATTGGAGGATTTAAAATAAATGTTGGATGTTTGGTAAAAATCAAGATGCCTGGGAGAGTGCTATTGTGAAAGTGCTTACCAAAAGATACTGGTAGCATTAATAACAGTAATACTGTGCCTATAGGACAGTAGTTCTACACCTGTGGTTACAGACAGCAAAGGTACACTAAACCAAGCCACTCACAGATCCCTAAGGACCACAGAAGTAGCATGGGCATAGTTAGATATATGTATTAAACCAGGATAACCGTGGGGTGAATATCAAAACTAGGAGCCAGATGCTACTAGGGCAGAGCAGTTTTACAGTCAGTCTGAGATTTATACCCAGAAGACTTATTTTCAGTGTTCCCAACACAAGTAAGTATATGAGAGAATTTTCCAACTGCCTGAAATGGCTAGGCATCCTGTGCTGGATTCTGCACCTGGGATGGTTCAATGCTGGATATACATACAACCCAGGGAATGAGATGTTGGAAAGCAGTGCCATGGAAAGGGACCTGGGGGTCCTGGTGGATGTCAAGTTGAATGTGAGTAATCAGTGCCCTGACAGCCAGGAGGGCCAGTCCTGTCCTGGGGTGCATCATGCACAGCATCACCAGCTGGGCAAGGGAGGGGATTGTCCTGCTCTGCTCTGAGCTGGGGCAGCCTCGCCTTGAGTCCTGTGTTTAGGTTTGGGTGCCACAATTTCAGAAGGACGGTAATTTCAGAGGATGGCAACAAAGATGGTGAAAGGTCTGGAGGGGAAGCCGTATGAAGAGCTGCTGAGGTCACTTGGTCTGTTCAGCCTGGAGGAGACTGAAGGTCTCGGAGACCTCATTGCAGTTACAGCTTCCTCATGAGGGGAAGAGGAGGAGCAGACACTGATCTTTTCTCTGGTGACCAGTGACAGGACCTGAAACTGAGTCTGGGGAGGTTTAGGCTGGATATTAGAACGAGATTCTTCACGCAGAGCGCGTCTGGGCACTGGAACAGGCTCCCCAAGGAAGCGGTCACAGCATCAAGCCTGACCGAGTTCGAGAAGCGTGCGAACGCCTGTGCCCGAGTGGCTGAGCTACGATCCAAAGAGAGAAGCCCAAGGTCCTCACAACACTGGCTCCTTATTCTGTTGGAAATTCCATGCTGTGGTGTGGCTTCATTCAGCTTAACCTCTTAAGAGAGGGATTTAGGGCTAGTGCAAGCTGTCACAGGAAAAAAGTCAGTCCTATGCGGCTAGGCTTTGCTCTAACCTTCGTCCCCAGCTTCCAAGAACACAAAGGAGCAGGGAGCTGGAGCCGCTGCACACGGCTGACACCAAACCGCAGCTACGGGGTGCGTGGGAACTCACAGCCGAGGCGCGGCAGAGCTCAGCGGAGCGCCCGCGCCCCCGCGCCCGGCCGGGCGCCGCCCGCGCGCTGCGGGTAACGGCGCCACGGCAGCATGGCGGCCGCCGGCACGCGCCCGGCCGGGCGGCTCCCGCGCGCTGCGGGTAACGGCGCCACGGCAGCATGGCGGCCGCCGGCACGCGCCCGGCCGGGCGGCTCCCGCGCGCTGCGGGTAACGGCGCCACGGCAGCATGGCGGCCGCCGGCACGCGCCCGGCCGGGCGCCGCCCGCGCGCTGCGGGTAACGGCGCCACGGCAGCATGGCGGCCGCCGGCACGCGCCTGGCGCGGGAGGCGCTCGGCAACGCGCCCGGCAGGAGGCGGCCGGCCCTCGCTTCCTTCTCCGCCTTCAGCTTCGTCCCGCCCAAACGGGAGGGGCCTCCAGAGCTCAGCTACTTCGGCCGGGAGCACAAGGTGAGGGCGTGAAGGGAGCGCGGGGGGTGGCGGGGAGCAGCGCAGGGGGAAGGGTCAAGCTCTCCCCGCGGGTCTCTGCGCTGGCCAGACCCTCTGCTTGGCCCCGGGGCACAGCTCGGCCCTCATGCCCTGCCCAGACAGGTACCAAAAGTCGTCATAGCATCATAGAATGGGTTGGGTTGGAAGGGACCTTAAAGACAATCCAGTTCCAACTCCCTGCCGTGGGCGGGGATACCTTTCTCTATACCAGGCTGATCAAAGTCCCCTCCAGCCTGGCCTTGAACAGCTCCAGGGATTAGGCATCCACAAGTTCTCTGGGCAACATGTTCTAGTTCCTCACCACACTCACAGTGAAGAATTTTTTTCTGATACAGAAATGTGGCACATCTCTATCACTGACTACCTAATGCTAAAATAACAGGTTTCACCATCAGAGGCCTTTGCAAAGTGTGTTTGCTACTGGTGGATGGCAAATGAGGGCAACATCTTTCATACTGGATAACAAGAGAAGGCAGAGACATTGTTTGCCAGTTATTGAGGATGAACAGGCCACTTTTATCAATGAAATGTAAGGCATTTTTAGGAGAAAAACTGGGAAAGGCATCTCTGTCACTAGGGTTTGATGCAGCACCAGTGGATTTTGTTGTAACACACACTCTTGGGAGCCCTTTAATAAGAAACTTCTCCGTTTTCATTTGAGGGAAAATATTTTCCATGTGCATTGCATAAATTTTCCACGTGGTCAGCTTTAATAAAATCAGTAGAGCTACTCAAAACAATAACATCAATATATGCCTCTGTAACTGGATGCTTCTGAAGGTGGTACACTGCCACTCAGCATGTGGTAACTCAAGTGCGCTGACAGGGATCCACACTCCTCGCTCTGCTGCATTATGTCACCATTGTTCCTCATTCTGTCTTCGTATTTAAAATCAGAAATGAAAGCAATCTTACTCCTTCTGCCTCAGCTGAGCTACAGTTCCTGGGTGGTGAACTTTTCTATGAAGTGACATATGATCTACTGAAGTTAACAGGCTTTTTTCCCAAAAAGAAAATAACATTATAAAAAAGTTTTGAAATGCCTATTATGTCAGTGTAACATAGCAATGCTATGGCAATTTATAACAATAAATACAACCCATGAGTCCTCTCCTCACCCAAGTGGCAAGCTGCTGAATGCACCAAGCACCAGGCAGCAATGACTGGTCGTTTGTGAGAGTTTGCAGGTCCTGTGTCGCTGGCATGTGGGCAGGGTACAGACCAGAGCACTGTGCTGGGTATTGAACAGCAAATTTCCTGCATTGACCAGGTGGCCCTGCTAAAAGACGAGAAGATTTATCTTGTGACTCTTTTGTGTTGATTCCAGCATTACTTTGGCAAGGTGATATGAGCCAAAGGTGAGTCACCAGTCTGCACAGAATTAGCAGCCATATGGTAGAGCTTTTCTGTACAATATAGTCTGATCTTACACTCACAATGGCCTGGTTTGTCAAAAAAGCTGCTCCAGTGGCATAGAAACAAAAAGTGATAACAGCTGTTTAATAGGTTTCTTCACAGCCCAAGCCTTTCTCCAGGGGAGAAAGCAGATTCAACCCATTCTGCAAAATTTAGGAATTGGATAGTTTGAATATTTTTATTTATAGAGCAAAAGGAATCTCATTCCTTTTTGCAGCTTAAATACCTAAAATCAACCATGTATCAGAGAGTGAAGCAGAGAGAAGTAGGAAGAAGATGGGCTTATTGCATGGCCAGAAGCCAGAAATTCCTGCTTTTTATTCCCTTGGCCAACAATTGCTCCCTGGATTGCTTTACGTAAGTTACTGTAGGCAGTGTGCCTAGCATTTCCTCTTCTGAGATGTGGAGAAAGCAATTACCTATTTTATGTGTGTCTGGAATACTAATGAATGCTTGCAAAACATTTAGCTTTAGCAGCAGTACACAGAGGATGCCTACCCTGAGTGCACATTTATCATCGGCTCTGTGTAACTCACTTGCTCTGATGGGTTTAAGAAACAGCTTGCCACCACCACCACCACACCCAGATCAACCAAGTTATCATTTACAACAGAGAGAAACAGCAGCAGAAAGTTATCAGTGTATTGAGCAAAGAAGTATTGTCTCTACAAATCTAGCAGAAAATCTTGAAGAGGTATCTGAGACAGAGCTAGTTTTTGATATAACAGACTGGCTGTCTGTGAGTTCCAGAAAGGATGAATTATCTGCTCTGACATGACCAACAAATGACACTTACTCTTTCTTACTCTGAAACAAGTAACAAATAATGCCACATGAATACCAGCAAAGAGCAAACAACATTTCTGATGGTGAGTACAAATTAAATACCCACTGAATGAAACTGGTAGAATGGGGAGGAGAGGAGAAGAAAGGAAGCACAGAAATAATCATGGAGATGACAAATCATGTGCAGGGTGCTCTTGAATGTGCCTGAAATCCTCTGAAGCTCGATGATTTCTGAGAAGTGAAGGGATAGATAGGTTAAATACAGAATAATTTCTCCTCTTGGCAGAAGCAAGTATTGGAGATACCTGTATAAATAAGGCCTGAAATTACAGCAGTATTTCACTAGTACTCTTAACTATGGTTTCCTTTTAATGGAACCATTATAACCTTCTTGACCTGCCATGATTTGACTATATTTGGAGAATACCAAAGTACATGAGATTTTCAAATGTTAAATTGGACACACTGTAAAATTAGAGAACAAAAAAAAAGCCCAACAAAATGCACCATTCTTTTAGTCAGCCATGCACAAAGCCAATGATGATTGAAATTTTTAACAGAATATCGACCCTTGATGAAGTTCAGTAACAACTGGCGGCATATTTCAGTAGGGGGTATTCTTTTTGGTGGCTTTTTTGAAAAGTTTTCTTTTTGTTTTGAAATTGCTTTGATTCCATTTATGAGAACTTCTTGACTGGATTTCACAAACACTTTTGTTAGAACAGCAGATCTTTATGTTGCTTATTTGGATGCAAACTATGTCAACAGTTGAACAACAATATTATGGCTTGGGGTGTGCTTTATTTTAATACCTGACATATGTTTGTCATTCATACCACTGGATCACAGGATTACCTCTGTGGCACATTTCTCAATTATGCTCTAATCAGAAATTAAATTATGTTTACAGTGCAGGGTACCTTTGTGTGTTTGAAAGTTCCTGTTTTGCTTTTACATAATTGTGCCCAGATCATTTGACAAATACACAAATTTAGGAAGGAGAGAATATTAAGTGCAGAAAATTCAAACAGATCAGATAATTTCCAAAATTACAACAGATTACAGGGTGGGGGAAAAGAACTAAATTGCCACAAGGGAAATTTCAGAGCTGAACAAACTTAATAAATGATAACATATGTCATTAGGTAATTTTGCAAATCATTCAAAAGGACTGGCCCAAACTTCCTAATGAGGTCAGTAATATTACAGTTGTCATCATCTAATGAAATATATGCATTATGATTTGACTACATGTATTCTGTAATCTGTAAAGTAAAGCAATTATGTGAATTAGCCATTTTTCCCCTTTTCTCAAGACAGGAGATTTTTTCACCTATGATACTGTTTTTAGAATACCAGAAGATTACGACCAGTATCTTCCACGATGTGACAGAAAACACGCAAAGGCTCGTGGCCTTAAAATTAATGAGGAGGTAACAATTTGATAAATTCATAATTATCTTTGTTTAAGATGTTTTGTACCTTTTGACATGACTGGGGACTCTAGGCATCGTTTTACCCTTAATAATCTAGGTCATATGATAAGAAAAAAATTGGAAGGAGGAAATCAGCCTGCAGGTTTAGGAGAAAGCATTATCCCATGAAGACACCCAAATTAGCTCTTTCATTTCCTGAAGATTTACAGATGACAAGACATATGCAAGTTAAAGCTAAGGGGAAGAGGCAAATCCTCTCTTGCAGAGTGCAGGGTGTATTCTGAACCATCTGTGCCCCTCAAGAGTTGTACTTCAGGTGGTTCTGCAGTTATTTCAGTGATGTTTAAAAACTCTTTTCCCTGAGAGGACTGGATTCAGAGGCTATGACTTCCCTACTATCCTCTGACACCCACTGTGTCTATGCCAGCATTTGCTGTCAATGTCCAAGTCTCTGAAGCTGATGAATTTGTTAGGAAAACCTACACCAGATTCCCCTGCAGGAAGGAAATTCATAGGGAGCTAGTGCACAGGTGTATTCAGTCAGAACACATGGACATGCCTGGGAAAGGATGGGCAAGCATTTGAAGCCAACAGAATCTGGGTTTGATGTGCAGCCTGATAGGTAAATACTCCTCTGGAAACAGAAATACTATAATACATATGCATAAATGAATGTGGATGTATTCTTGCATGCAGCATCTGAATAATACACATATATACAACCGTCTCTGTCTATAATTATATTTATGCATACATACACAAAACTGCACATAGAGGCAGAGGCTGTCAAAAACCAAATGAAGTGTAACCTCTGTGTACTAATGACCTCAAAATCCCAACTGGTTCATGGATGTAAAAGTGATGGGTAGGCTAGGGATGGCTGCCTGCTTTGATGGTTATATATTATAGAGAAGGAAGAAGGAAGAGTGACACAAGAGTCCAAATTACTCTAATTTCTGTGCAATAAAATTGGGGGTTTTTTTCTGACAAAGCCCACTGTTTGGGATTCATCTTACTAGCAGTTATATATGCCAGACATTTCAGTGCAAGTGTGTAGCCATAATGCCCTTTAACTCTATCTAATGCAGGAAGCATTAGATGCTCCCAAAGGAATCCCAGGAGTGCCCATCAACATCACCTGCTCATGCCTAATAACTCAACTGCTAATCTATCTATGTAAATGACTACTCCAAGTAGAAATTAATTTTTTTATTTAAACAAAACAAAGACAACCTCCCTCCCCCAGTACCAAGCAGGAAATTTGTGTAGAAAGTTCATCAATATAAAGTTACAGCTTTTTACTGAGCTCTTGTATCAACAAAACTCATTTTGCTATTGGCTTTCTTTCTAGACCAAACTTGTATGGGCCAGAATTCATACCAACTGTGCTGGGCAGTGCACACAAGGGACTGTCCAAACAGGTGTCCTTTAATCCAGCCCTTTAATTAGCATGGATACACATCAAACTCACAGTTATTTCTGCAACATGATCCTCCTGCATGTCATGACTCCCAGCACTGGCTGTAACCATAATCAAGTGCATATCACATACTCAATTCATCTTTATCACAGTGACCTTCTTAGGCTTTATGTAATAATAACTAACTTATAAAATATAATAAATAAAAATACCACAATTGACATCTTTCTAGTTCAACACTGAACACAGACAGACTGAACCCAGCACAGCTTTACTTGAGCTGGAAAAAAGCAAACCACTGCTAGTAACGCCCTCATTTCCTGCAGGTAACCTGGATGCAGGGAATTCAGGAGTACAGTTACAGCAACTTGATTAGCTACATGCAGCTGAGTAACTGCAGTGGAGTGTGTGCTTAGGGCTGCCATTGCTGATTGCAAGTGCTAACAGTGCTAGAATTACGCACTGCGAGGGCGGGTAGCAGGATGCTTCCCAACCAACTGTTGGAAAATCTGAAACCCACTGAATACCAAATCCACAAAGATGAAATGCCAGTGTGCACAGTCAGTGCTGTGCTACCAAAGATGCTGAAAACTGATTTTAAATAAACTTATTTAGAAGGAACTCAAACTATTGGAGTTACATACTGCTGTCTGTCATTAGCACTGTACACCCTGAATTTCTAGCAAAGTCTTTCTTGATGGTACAAAGATTTTTTAGTTTCTCATTTTTCAGCATTTATCCACAACTAGGGCAGGGGAAGAAATGATCTTAATTTTGCCTGCCAGTCTTCTTGACTTGATTTTCATTCAGCTAGGGTTAAAAGTTGGTGAACTCAATAGTTTTTAACAGGGTGGAGTAAGGTGGGCAGGAGAATTGGGAGATAAATGGTTGTTTTGAAATTAGCTTTTGTATTGAGTAGGTTGGTTAGTTAGTTAGTTTTTAAAAGTGTTTACAGCATCTTTCCAAGAACCTCAGGTTCTATCCATGAGGCTGGAAATGTCTCCTAGCTGACTGCCGTGCTGTGAAATCCTGCCAATCTGTGCTCCCACCAGTATCCTTGCAGGACATAAGTGCTGATTTGCTCAGACTTGTGTCTGTTGTAGCAAAGTAGTAATTTGCTTGCACTTGAACTATGGTGTGGCATCTACATTTTGATTCGCCTTTTAGATACTATGTATATTATAAGACTAGAAAAACACATTTCAGATCAAGGCTTACTGTGTTAGTCAGTGTACAAACATACAAGCAGCCTGATAAATCTGAGACCTTTGGCTAGGGAAAGAAAAACAAACAAATTCAGTCTTTCCCTTCTGACTCTCTAGCTCCCTGTTGCTCTAACATAGGAAGGAACTGCAGATTGCAGATAGTGATTGCACAGCCACTTAAAGTGCAGCTTACTGAGAACAAGCTTAAAATCTTTTCTTGGACAGGTAGTTTTGCATCAAGTCCACTTTCAATCATGGTGAAGCTGTTATTTCTGTAATCTTACAGCTACAAGTATTTTTAGTAAAACCTTTCATTGTGCAGAAATAAAGTAGTATATGCTTTATTTCCTTCAGGAAAAGCTTGCATGGGCTAGTGGTTGCTCAGGGTTTTTCTTTAGCCTTTGATTTTTTACATGCTGTGCTTTCACTGAATTGTGCAAGCAGGGTAGGTGTTCCTGTAATAGGAGGCACAAATCTCTCTTCTATTTTTCAGAAGAATCATGCAATTCAGTGCACAAGAAAAATAAAAATAAAATCTGTGCTTTTCTATCATTTAGTTACCCAGTAATCACACGGTAATCACATGTGTATGTATGTATTTGTGTAAAAAAAAAAATACCAGTCCACAGCTCCATATCTTATCATCTTGTCATCTAGTGACACATTCATGTTTTACTAAGATAAAAATAACATTAAAAACTAGGGCAGGGATAGAATAGTAAGCTAAACAAATACACATGCATATTGCAGATGCTGTACAGTTCTTTCAGTTATTTCACCCCAGCCACAGCACATTTAGCAATAGAAAACTGCCATGTTTTCTGTTCACCCTGTGATTTTCTTCTAAGGGGATTTTTGTGTTTTCACAGGAAATGGCAAGAACTGTTCCTGTGCTGACATCTTCAGAGTATGGGAAGCGCATCCATGAGCCCTTAGACCCAGCAACCGGAGAGCATGCGAGGGTTTATAGCGTTTACGCAGCAATCTATGGGGAAGGCAGCCGCACTGCTCAGTGAAAAAGCCTTCTACAGGCCTGCATCCATGGGAAATCTCTTGTATCTGTCACTGCCAGCAACATTTATCTGGGGAAAAAACATAACACTTTGAAGAGCAATATGGTGCTTTTTGCCTTTTCCTCTACATTTTATTTAATGAGAATGATATGGATTAAAAATAGGGTGAAATAGCAGCTGCACTTTTTTTCTCATGCTAATTAAAATGCATGCCTTCTTACATTCTCATTAAAATCTCAAGAAGAACATTTTAGAACATTTTAGGCAGCAACGCTGGGAATAAGAACTATTGGGTCAAAGGCTCTGTCTGCAATTCTGGGAACTGCATCTACCTAACCATTCACAGACATATCATTTTAAACAAGTTTGTCCATCAAGGTATCAGTAGTCACAGATTTTTCAATCCTTACAGAGTTTCTAGAGAATTGTGAGACATTGTTTTATGTACACAACAGCTGAAATGGATATTCAACTCAGAATTTTCAAAAATGTATAGGCTTACGTGCTTAGCAGTTTCACTAGACTTCACGTGGAACTTGAGTTAAAAGGAGCTTCTGAGCACTTAGTATTTGGAAGAGACAAAATCTGGGTTTAGCTGAATTCATACATTCATTTCATTCCAGGAATGGCATCTTACTGATTTAACAAGAAAAATCATCATTGGTTCTGTATCCAATCTGACAAAAATGGGAAAAAAGATTTAAGTATTACTAGCAGTACAAGCACCAAATAATTTGGTAGAAAGGGTGAAAAAAATATAAGGATTTGAGCAGTAGCCATTTAAAAAGAATGTTTAGCACAAATGTCTAAATCTGATTAAATATTTGATACCTTGTACTTTCATAAATACTTGATACCTTGTACATAAACATTTGATACCAGTACTAAAATTTTAAGGTAACTTCAGGAGGAGTTTCTCCTGCAGAGTATGCATCTGTTTGGTTCTCAAGAGCTGTTCATCCTGTTCTTGTTTAAAGCTGAGACAGTATTGTTCAGAAGGAACAGCCTGAGTGATCATACCAGAAAAAGGACTGTAAGTCCACAGCTGTGACTGACACAGTTTTTGTCAGGTATTTAGACACAGGAAAACTGTGTCATTTGTAAATACAGTGAGAAACCTAGTGAAAAAAAAAGAGAAACAAAACCTTCTAAATCTGGGACCTGAAAAAGTAGTAAATTAGGCAGTCAATAGCCCTTGTTTGGCTATGATGTGAGAAGCAGAGCACACAGAGCAGCCCATTCTGAGAGGTGTTTGTTACTTTCATTATTCATGACCTGCAGCTCTTCTACACTCAATACACTATGGACAAAATGACATTAATGGCTACATTCCTTTTCAAAATAAACACTTCACTAAACAAACTTAGTAGCATTAAATGAAAGGAATCATAGTAAGAACAAAGGGAGAAGGAACTGTTTTCTAATACCACAATGCTTTTCCAAAAATCAGTATTGAAGTTATTATTAGTGAAGAATGAGATGGAATGTGGCTATATTCTTAGCAGGTTATTTTTACTTTGGGACAGTCAGTACAAATTGCTTTTTTTAAGTAGCCTTACTATATTTACAAACCATCTGTGTTTGAAAAATTATTTGAAATCAAATTTATTTGAGAATACCACCACCTTCTGGTCTATGTGAGAAATAGCATCACTTCCACCGCAGAGGAAGTCCAACATCAAAAGACCAGTTTGAGTTTTCCTATCTCGTTTCTTTGTGATGTCACACCCTTATCATCTGTACTCACTTTTTAAGGTCTTTCACAGGTTGTTCCTCCCACTACTTGTTTCTCGTTCAGTTCTGAATGGTTCACTTCTTCCTTCAGTGCTCAATGTCAGAAGAACACCCTGACAATTTCTTCTGTATTAGTGGTAAATTCCTTATAAACGTTTGCAAAGCCATTTCAACTCTCCTTCAATTTCTCACTTGCAAGAATGACAAATTCTTAGGTTATTGATGTTCTGAGCTTACTATTACACATTGGAAAGCAACTTTTGGCATTCTCTCACCTGTCAATGTTGACATACTACTTTGAGGAAGAGTTTTATACATGCAACAAATTAACACAAACAGAATGGACAGTGTATACAATGTAAAGCATATTCTGGATCTGGATTTTGCATCAAGTAATCTCCAGAGATTTTTGGGGCAATTGACAGACACCTGCAACTCACAAATTATTGGAAGGAAAAACTGGCCACATTCTCTATCTACTGGTGAAATATACATAATGCCAATGATGTGAAAGTTTACCCTTTTTGTATCAAAACAACAGCGAAAATCAAACTAGGTTATCCTGGGAATTCTGCTTTGCTACTCATAAATAGTAATTCCACACCGAGAGGAAGCACAAGCTAATGAGCATGTGTTACATGGCCGTTCATCAAGAATACATGATGTAATCAGAACTAAAACTCTCCTGTTTTCCCTTCATCATTTGCAAAGCAATGAACTGACCCAAGTTAGGGCACTTGTTCTGGCTGAAATGGGTATTGGTTCTGGTTCTCAGTTCCAGAATTTCTGTTCATAAATAAAAAAGGGCTGTCATGGGACATGGTTCTTCTGAGCTTCAGAGCATAGTTTATGTAACCCAGAGGAACCCTGGAGTGCATACATGACCCCATTTAGACAGTTTAGCTAAAACTGCCACCAAAGGCAAAACTACAAATAGAATACATCTGGAACATTGGGCAGCCCCATAGAGACAGTTGTACAAGTCCATTATCCTGTGGCAGCTGTTACTTTACAAAGTAAAGCAAATACTTTTTATTAAAAATGCTCTCATTTTCTGTAAGGCATCGCTATTTATTGAACAGCACTCTGCATCTCTTCAGTAAAACCAATAAACCAATACTGCTTCTGCAATTACTTCAAATTTTAGTTTTATGAAACACTTGGGAAATTACATGAGCAGCTGTAAGTAAATTACACAATTTCTTCTTTTACTGTCAAGAAAAGTCCTGATTAGTAGGTATTCTGTAGGCATATACCTACAGAATAGGTATAAGCTGTATATCCAGACTGGCCAGTATCCTTCAAGTCACATGTGGCTGTTTGCAGCTGTGAATTAGAACCAGTTAAAATACAAGGGAAAAGCAGCACTAACTGTCTGACACATATATCTGTAAACTTGTAATAAATAAAGACACAAATCTTAAGAAAATATGATTCTCTTTATTAGTATCTACATGTCAAATGTTCCAAATATTGGAAGGTTTCACACTCAGAAGCTCACATTTTCTGAGGTGCAGTTACTTAGAAAAAATAATTTTTCTTCCATGCACAGAATTTAGCTTTGTAGTATAGAAGGTCAGCCTGTTATCCAGTAGTATTCTCCAGTGTCAGTTGCTGAGTCCGTATGTACAAGGAAAGATTTTTTTTTGTAAATAATCTGCTATTTTTCTGGTGTTTTGTAGACTTTCTATCTCAAAAAATGGAATCTAGAAACAAAACAGAAATGATTGCTGAAAATACCTTTTAATAAACAACAGGGTAAGACTGATGTTCATTAAGCAGATGCAAAACTACACATCAAATACTTATTTTGTTTTAAAACTAAAGATTTGATCCTAAATGTACTATTGATCTATAAATGACCTGAAGAGAGATTACTATTAAAAAAAGAGTGATATTTATTACAGCTTAGACAAAGCTAAATATTATGGAGTTAGGCTTATAGAATAAGTGATGATAAGTGGAAAATATCTCAAGAAACTAAGTTTTCATTCAAAGTATGTTTCAAGAAAAATATACCTCTATTAATTCGACAGTCAAAATAAAGGTTATACTCCGCTGTGAAAATATTATTTACAATAGAAATCAGCTTATTTTTTTAACTCCTCTTTTTAAACTCCAAACCTTTTAAAAAAGTATTTAATTAAAAATTCCAATTCTAATGAACTCTTAGATAACATTTCCCTTTAATTCAAGATTTGAATCTTAATTACTGAAGGAAGTACTCTTCCAAACAGCAACTATGCAGCAAAAAACACAGACAGACTACACTAATTTATCCAAGGAAGAAAAAGGTAGTTCTGTACACCCTCAAAAAGGCAAAAACTAGGCAGAGAGAATCTAATATAGAAAAATCAAGACTACATCTGCTTTAGGAATTAATTTAAACTACAATTTTAAGTATTGTAAAATAATTTTTTACTAGTTTTCTTAGAGCAAAAGTAAACCACTGTCTTTGGACTTTACCTGCACAACTTCATAACCAAGTAACTGAAGGTGTCTCTGTTTAATAGCTTCTTCTCCCAACAGATTGTGGCTATGAGCACAAAATCTATTTTGACCATCAACACACAGGGCAATTCTAAAATTAAGCATAAGTGTAATATCAAAAAAAAACCAAAAAAAAACAACAAACCCACAACAATCAGTTATTTTAATCACCACAACTAGTGCAGTTCCTAAGAATCAGGAGACAATACCTCCCTCTTACACCTGTTGAATCAGATGTAGGATGGGAGTTTCCTAGTTCAGAATAATTTAAATCACTCAATTTAAGGGTAGGTGGTGAAACCCTGAAACTTAGTGATCTGAAAAGCTTTTTTATTTGCTCTGAACAAAAATTACCATGCACATTAATGAGAGGCATTTTTAATGCTATGATTAGTAACCTGTTTGAATTCTTCTAGAAAGAAAAATGAAAAAAACTTGCCTCAGCTAGAAAACATTTCAGCAGCTAAATGTATTTAACTTACTAATTTACCTGTTAAATCCATTAGAGTTCAAATTGAGTTTAAGCTACATCTGTTTTAAGTTAAACCAGTACATATGGTTGGCAGCATGGATTATAACAATATTTTTTCTTCTGGGTGATAAAAATCCCATCAATTTAATCCAAGGTTTTTATATCTACTGTTAAAAACTTGCTTAAATTTTCAGTATGTTAAGTATACCGTGACTTTATTCACTTTATGAAAGCTGCTACTTAACAAAAAAAACCATTGAAGCTCATTCTTAAGCATTTAAGCATGGGGTCTTGGAAAGATCCTGTATTAGTCTCGGAGTCTTGTGAATTAAATGTGTCCTGGTTTCAGCTTAAACCACAACAGAAAGTTACACTGGAGAAAGCCTAACTTCAAAGACTTTTGCTTTGTTCACAGTGCATTGCCATTATCATGCAGGCAGGTTGCTTAACTTTGTATCCAAGGCTTCCCACAGTATCCCTTAATATACTTTTAAACACCTATGCATTTCTCAGTATCCTTATTATTCAGGATTCCTTGCGGAAGTAAATTTGTGAACTCAAACTCTGTTAAATCTGTGCAAATATACTCAGAACTTAGTTTTAATTTGAAACTTAATTACAGAATATCAAAATGGATTACTATAATTCAAATAAGGATGACTTGATTCTTACTGTCACTGAGTAAAGAAACCAACTGTCTGACACTGCATAGTCAGGTGACAAAGCAATGAGCAAAAAGCAGATTGTTAATCTTGTCCTTCTGCCAGTGGTTTCAGTGTGAGACCTGAACTTTGTTGAAGTCAATGGCAAAACTGCAAATAGCTTACATTTTGCTATGTTTTCACCCTGGATGCTCTTTCCTGGTATAAATCAACATTTTACTAGTGGTTTCTTTTATTCTCTTACCGTCTGTGTACCTCTTCAAGTTGGGCCGCAGGCAATACAAAACCTTCTTCATCTAATTTAATCTCAATATCTTGTGTAGATGAAAAAAGACAAATGACATTAAACACCATTTCTTATAACAAACTTTCTACTGTATCTTCTCACAGTTGTTTTTTTAAACAACTATAATACTATCACTTTTTTTTTTTTAATCACAGAGGCTGGCAAAGTTGTATAGACTTAACACAAATGAGTGATAATTAGTAACAGTTCAGCCTTTCATGATGCTAACAAACAAAGTAGTATTCCAAGTCCACTCAAAACTGTAACACAGTTAAGTGGTGCTTTGCTGTGCTAGCTGGGGTCTCTGGAATTTTGAGGGCTTTAGGGAGAGATACACTCTCTCCCTCTGCTAACTTCAACATCCTGATGAAAACTGACACATAGAGTAACTCTGTTACTCATCCCCCTTTTTTATTTTTTAAAATCCCTCTGACATCCATTGTGTCCAAGACTCTCTTCCCTCAACATCTCATTATCCTGCACCCCCTCCTGGGCACGTGCCTTTCCCCATCACTGCCTTCTGTTTCCTGCTGCACACAACACTGTGTTTTGCTCACTGCTGTCTTACAACCCACAAACCCCACCGACTGTGTTGTCAGCAGCTCTTGCTGAGGGGAGAGGAGCCCACCTGAGCACAGCACACAGCTGACCACCTTCCCTTCTCTACTCACCACTAAAGCAGGGAGATCAGGAAAATGGCATTCCCTCATTTTGCTTTACATTATACAAATTGTTTAACGGATAAGGGGCTGATAATACACAGAACACAAGCAGCTGTTAGCAGCTGTTTTCAATGCAGAATGGCTGTGAAAATTGCTTTTCTCTCCATTTTCCTTTCTCTGAGTAAAGATTATTTACTTAAAGTTCCCAAATTTCAGATCTTTTACAGAAATTGGTATCCCAATTTACTTTTCCTGTATTTGCAGAATTTAGACTGCCTACAAATGAAATGATAGCTTTGACACCATACACACATATTTAATTACTAATCTAAAGAAATTATACTTACCAACTATATAGAAATATGGTGTTGATACCTCTGATGCAAAATAAATTCTTTTTTTCAGTAAATAAAGTAATCCTGTCTTCACCCTTTTAAAGAGGTGAACATCAAGAGAACTCTGAGGCATGGGAAAGGCCTTTACTTGGTACTTAGAAAGGAGTTTCGGACCCTAGAAAGGGACAGAAAACCAAATCAAAAAGGGGAGATAACATTGTTGTAGTTACCTCATATAAACATAGCAAAATGTACTCTGTGCATTTCATAGCCAAGTCTATTGAGAGACCTACAGTCTGAGGTGTGATCTGCTGGGATCTTAAAATCACCCAAACAACCACCAGAACATCCTCAGGAAGCTTCAACGCTATCATGTGCATGAGAAATGCACAGCTTTCCTTTCACACATTTTCCATTTTCCATCAGTTTCCATTCATACAAATATATCAAGTCATTCAATCAGGTAGAAATGCTCCATATTTTCATCAAGGAAAACTGGTTTGTCCAATTCCAATGCTTTTTATGGGAAATACACCCAACTAAGTATAAACAGGGCCCCAATGACCTTATCACCTCTTGTTAACATCACTTCTGGTTTCACATGTACTGTACCTCATAAAATGGGCACTCCAGGGTGACAGTCAGAAAAAGCTGCGTTAGCTGGGACATAACAACTCTGTTCAAACCAGGTGGCTGAGCTGAAACAACAACATTCAGGTTTTCAGGTAAAGTATCTTTACACAAACCATATGCAGAAGTTAGGAAAACCTATTCAGTATGATATGCAGGAAAGCTACTTAATCATTAAAATTATCAGCATTTGTTTAAGTTAACAGAAAGATCAGTATGAAATTACACAGGTAGAAAAACGAGAAAATTAATTATGGAAAGAGCAACACAAAAATACAAAACTAGCAATATCTTAATTAAAACTGTCATATTCTTTCACCAAAAAATGAGAATCCAAAAGATGCATGGCATTCTACACAGAAGAATAAATTTGAGTTGAGGTCTTCAATAAATATCTCCTTCTTATAACCACTTTTCCCCAAGTTATAATCCCAGGATCTCATTGTTTCAATCTCATTTTTTATTTTTTTTTTAATCTGCAAGTTGTGAATAAAACCAAATAATTTCTGGAGTCTGCTTTGTAAAAATTAACTCCTTCAGGTATTTCACGTTGTTGAAAAATTAAGTGACCAAAATTTCTAATCACTTTGAAAACTTAAGCTTAGTTCTATTAGTGGAGCAATCTTAGCTGATATCTTATTAAGTCTGTCATCTTTCTGGCATAGCTTACATCTCTCTACCATGATTCTAAAAATGCTTTAGTATCAAACAGAGAATAACTCAAAATGAAGTGTTATTCATAATAGATTTGTGTCCAAAAACATTGAAATATATTATAATTAGAGCCAAGAACAGACTCTGACATGGGGATGTTTTAGCATAATGTATAAGACAAAAGACAAACATAGGGAATACCAGGTCACTGTTTTTTTAGAAAACCAGAAGGATTAACTGAAATAATTATTTTAAGGGAATTCAAGTCTGTGTTTTAAAACTATACAGTGCAATTTTCAAACTCAACTAAATGACATACATGTAAGACAACAGTAACTGTGACAAGGAAGCATCACCTTTTGGCCTCCTGATTGCTATTTTCCCGTCACTTCAATTAGGTCACTATTGACTTGACAAATTAAATCGATAAAAAATAGATGCTTGACAAGAGACAAACAACATAATAGAAAGAAATTTGGAACATCCGAGGAGAAATTCGGCTCTTTACCTTGAAGCTTTTGCAGAAAATAGGGACTAAATATTTTTGGCAGGAAATTTATTGGATAACGTTGAATAAGAACACACGAATACAGCAGGTTCAGCAAGGTGTGAGGCTGAAAGTGCCTCAGGCGGGTATGCAGCACAGCTTCAAGCTTCCTAAACAAGGAAGAAGCTCTTGGAGGCAGGTAATTAAGGGTCCCAAATGGGATAATATATGCAGCAATCTGGTCAGTGGTCAGTCTGTCAGCACTGTAAATGAAACCTTCTGCCACTGCATCAAAGATGAGCTTTGAAAGGATCCTCTTTTTGCAGCAATACTGCATGATCTTGCTGACTGTTTGAGGATGCATAGTGCAGATGGACTTGGGGACATGTCTTTCCAGTGCCTCTGTAAACATTTGCACTTTTTGCCCGAAGTATAGGAAAGCTTCCAGTACATTTGCCAGTTCATGGTCTGTGAAATAGGGAACATGCTTCACTGAATATTTGCACAGTGCAGTGACTAAGGGAACTGCTTGAGTCTGACGAAGAACCACCAGTGAATTCAGTATTACACTTATAAAGTCTGGGCTCAGCTGGGAAACTGTGTGCAAAGTGACACTGTTCAGTCTGTTTAGCAAGTTTTGGCATCGTTTCCCTTCCCTCACAGTCACTTGCAGTATCTTATAAACCACCACTATTTCCCTGGGACTCCAACTCTTAATGTCTCTTTCTTGCATGTGGTTCACAATTTGTTCCAGCGTCGCACAACTTGGGCCTTCTAACTCAAGCAAACTTTCTCCGAGAGCACACAGATTTTCAGCAGTCAGCTGTCCCCTGCCAAGCCGCTCCTCGCTCTCCGAAAGCAGACTTGTCATCAGCGTGCTCTGCGGATCTATACGTAGCTTTATCAAAGCCTGCAATGCATTCAGCAGCCCCCTGTTTGACAGTTTTGAGGATTCAAATTCAAACTGGAAGCATAATGCCCTGAAAACTTCATTCTCTAACAGTCCAGGGTTTTTAAGACCATTCTCATCCACCTCAACTTCAGAAATCTTCTGTAGAGCTCCCGAGGCCATTATATCAGACATGACCTCTAGAGAGCTAAGAAAATAAAAAATCTCTTTTGATGTACAAAAGTTGTTCAACTTCTTGAAAAATAACTCTTCATCCATCCACACAGTATTTGATTTAGTACAGTTCCTCATATCTCCACAAAGATGCACAGCTTCAGTAACAGAAAGTGGCTGCATCTGTATGTTTTGTACATGTTTTTTCCTACAAAAGGTATACTGAGATTTATCTTTGACACACAGCATCCTCATGGCCACGGAGCTACAGTCTTGGGGTTTTCGCTGCCCACGGACGAAGTCCAACCTTTTGCTTAGGGTCATCAAAGCACACCTGCTTGCTGGTGTGCTGGATGAATACAACTGGAAGCTTTTTCGGCTAATCAAAGCCATTTTGAATCAGGCGAGTTCTGAAATGATACCTAAGGGAGGAAATGTAGATATGTAGTCTGGAAAACACCACCAGGGTCACTAAAATGCAAAAAAAATAACCACAACCCCAATCCTTTTGGTGGCTGGAAAGACGGGTACGACCCCTTTACCGCGACCCCGCGAGAGCAGAAATGCCGGGAGCGGCGATCCCTGTGAGACGGGCTGCCCCGCCTTCCGCAAGGACACTCCGGCGGGCGAACAGGAGACTCTGCCCGCACCGGCGCGGCCCCTCCATCCCCTCCGCACCTGCGCTGCTACTGCCGCCGCCGCGGGCCGGGGCCGCGCCGCTCCGCCCGGGCGGGCAGCCGGGCGGGCAGCCGGGCGGGCAGCCGGGCGGGGAGCCGGGCGGGCAGCCGGGCGGGCAGCCGGGCGCGCAGCCGGGCGGGCAGCCGGGCGGGGAGCCGGGCGGGCAGCCGGGCGGGCAGCCGGGCGGGCAGCCGGCCGTGCCGCAGCCGCCCGGCCTCGGCGGCCATCACGGGCACCGCGCCGCCTGCCGGGACCTGCCGGGACCTTCCGGCGCCTCCGCCCGCCCCGCCCCGCCCCGCCCCGCCCCGCCCCGCCCCGCCCCGGCCTCCTCCCGGGCAGCCGCGGGACGCGGGCCGGCGCTTTGCTTGGAGCTGGGATCCGCGTCCGTGTGCACTGCGTCCTGCAGCGCAAGTACTCCCGCTCCCTGCTGGAGGGGCACCGGGGCCGGGCGGAGCAGGTGGGCGGGGCGGAGGGTTTGTGTTTCCTTTTGTATTTGTCTTGGCCCTGGAATGGTTCTGAGCGACTCGCAGGCTGTTTTAAAAGCGGCTTGGGAATGGCATTGTTGCTCAAGGCACGGTCCCGCAACCTGGGTTAAAGCCACAGAGCAGTGCGTGAAGCTCTTCTGGTTGCTGACAGAAAGAAGACGTTCTTCTAAGTTTCAGAAGGGTGAAACTCCTGCATGTGTGCAGTTCAGGTTGAATGAGGATCTAAGGAGTTTATCCATCTACCGATGACATAGTTAGTAGTGTGTGCACTGAAGTTTCTTTTTTGTTTCCGGTCCGTGGCCGCGCAGTTCATGTTTGACAGAGCTGGTCCGTGACATGCGCGGTCTGGCCTTGCCGTGCAGCTGCGGCACAGCTGGAGCGGCATGTGTCGTCCAGCGGCATTCCTGCCTGGATTGGCCTACACTCTGGTGCCTTAGGGAGCTGCTGGACTCCCTGCTAATCTTCCGTGGACTGCTAGCTCCCTGACTTTTCCAAGTATTGGATCAGGAGAGCTGTAGTTTGGAATTTCATCCTTAGTTGCCTGTAAAGCTCTGAGTGTGATCCAGCAAATCACAGGTTGTGCTCCCAGCTTAAACATTGTGTTTTGATGTGTATCTTCCAGCACGACAACGTGTTTAAAGGCTGCTGGCGTGGTAGTATTATTAAAGTTACAGGGATTCTTAGGAAAGCTTGATAGCTCAACAATTACCTTTTTTCCCCCTATTTATTCCAGTTGCACTTGTATCACGTAGGTGGAAGTGGCGTAGCATCTTTGAAGCGTGTATAGAGCAGCAAAGCAAGAGCAGTGTGGGCAGCATCCTCATCTGAGAGCAAGTGTGTTCCTGGTTTATGGTTGTTCATCTGCAGGTAGGCATGAATGATTTTTCTCCTTTTGGGCAATGATACTTGGCAGTCTGTACACAAAGATCTTACAGTTGATGACAGAGAGAAGATGTGTTCCCAAGGTGAAACTCTTCAACTTGAGCAGTTTAGATCAACTGATCAAAGAAATTTATTGGTCTATTGTTGACATAATTAACTTCTAGGGAATTCAATAAGCTAGTCAGTCAAATTGAATTATGTATTTAAGATTAATAGCAACAATGCAACACATATAAAACTAGGTACCTGGAAAATGTTAATAAATGCCACAAATATTTAAACAGCTTTCTGTATCTAATTCCAAAGACTTGTTTGATTGTATTCTCTCCCATTGCTACAAGGATTCATTCACACTGTTGCATACACACGCAGTACCCTGTCTCAGGTGATCTGCATGTGCATCTCCAGCATCATCAGCTTTTCTGGCTGTGTGGGTTCTCTTGTTTCCACATGCTCTCTGTGAGAGGTGTGATTGCTCCAGATTTTTGTGCCTCCCTGCAAGCTACTGGTCCATTCACTAGTGAACAAACCTCTCTCCAAGTTCACATCTATGCAGCAAAAATGTGTGTGGCTACTTTTTGCACCCTTTATTGTTCCTATACTAGCTGGAGTAGAAAACTCACAATGTCTTACAGGAATTCTGGCTGCTCTGCCTGACCTAGGTAGAGGTCATAGCACTATTAGGGCACCATCTGACCATGTCAGACTACATCTTGGCTGCTATTTCTTCTGTTGCCCTCTCCATTGCCCCTGCTGTTGTAAATTTTTGTGCTTCTCAGACATTAACAGCTTCCCAAGCTAACTCTTGTTCTAGCAGACTTGTTGGTAGTGTCTGGTCTATAATGTTGCCAGCTTACTCCTCAGCTTTTCTTGTATAGAAGGTTTCTGTACTATGGTGTGGTCTCTGTGGGAAGCTGATTTTCTTTCTCCCTTTCTGAGGTATGAGTGTAGTAATGAAGCGCTGCTTTGTCTTTATTGGTTTTATTCATTTGTGGTCGGGTGATGCCACCTGCTGACAAGAGTGTTAGGTGAAAACACAGCACATGACCAGGATGAATCTGTATTAATACAAGGATCTGAGGGTATTTAAACTGTATTTACACTATTTTACATGAATCATCATAATTAGCACAGTTTTTTTCTTTTGGAAAAGGAAGGTGAAAAATAATTTTGAGGATTGCTTTGTTGTATGCGCCTTCTGTGCACACATGTGCATGAAACCAGTTATGTAAATGAATTTATTTAAAGGTTGCTGTTAAAGTAATTACTAATAATTTTAGATAATATATGTCATTAATTTAAAATGAAAACTAAAATGGAAAACATAGTAGAAGAAAATACAATGAAAACCTCAACATTTTCTAGTAATTACATTTTTAATGAAATTCATATATAATACAGGCATTCTTAAGAACCTGTCACTTAGTTTTGCTACTTTTGATCTATAATTATCAAAATAATTTTTAAAAATCCTGTAGGAAAAACCTTCTGCACTATGGGGAAAAATATCCTGCCATATCTATGGAGTACAATTTTCTTATACAATTCAGATATGTTTGTTTCCTCTTGAGAGAAAGAGAAAAAAGAGATACTTCAAATTATGTAGCCACAGGTTTCCATAACTCAGTGTGTCTGGCTAGGACACTGAATGTTTTCTGAATGCTTTGTGGAAGTAATAAGTGAAGTGCAGCAAACTGGGCCCAGGTATGGGAGAGGTACCTCAGATTGGGAACTGAAAGTTTCTCATACTAATTCTAGGTATTTGAGTTCTACTGCACCTCCTCAGCAATGAGAAAATATTGTAAAAAAATTAATTTGCAATATTCACTCTAAAGACATTCTGCTTCTCTCTCTTATTTACTTCTGCCTGAAGTTAAATCTGTGCTGTTCTCTGTGTCAAAATAATGGAAGAAAACTTCTTGCATTTAAATTTTCATGGGACAGGTGAATGGAGCTAACTGAGCTAACCTCAGAGTCAGGTTGCACTTGTGTAAGGAGCTCCCTTTTGAAATACAAAATTAAAGTCAGTGTTTGTGCTCCAAAATACATAGTGGGCAATAAAGTGTAAAGTCATTGCAGCAAAAAATACTGATTTCAGAAAAGAAGAAACTGAGAATTAAATTTTTTTTTCTTCAGCCTTGGTAGTTTGACTTCACCAGGTCTATGTTTTGTTTTCAAAGACAGCTTGGAAAAGTGAACAAAGCAGTCACTAACTTGAGATGGAAAATATATAATAATATAATAAAAATACTATATGTTTTCATGTTGTATTCTTTACAAACTAAATTCTTGATATTAGAGGTATTGTTTTATTACTGGAGCATCAAGGCAGTACAGAACATAGGACCAACACCACACATCCTTTGCAACCTGATCTACAAAGTTTACTTGTGAGAAATTACTTCACTTTAGATCAGTTGCCTCATTTCCAAGTTAAACACTGATTCTGCTATATTTATCTCTTTTTAATCTCATAAGCAAAGTAAAATCTTTCTTTTCTGCTTATAAGAAATTCATTTTAAATTCTTTTTTCCCCTGCAGTTTCTCTAAAAAAATAGCATGTGCTGTGAGTCAAAAAGGAGGTTTTTGCTCCTCTATGCAACACAAAAGGGGCAGGCAAAAGCCATAGCTGAGGAAATATGGCAGCAAGCAGGTGCCCATGGACTTGAAGCTGATATGCACTGTATGAGTGAAATGGATAAGGTGAGATACTCCATGCTGTTTTGAAAAATATGTATTGAAGAACTGCATTCTTTTTCACATGCTAGAGAGGTGGCTCTTGATGAAGGGTAGTAGATGCACCCACCTGAAAAACACCATCTAGGGTAAAATTTTTCTTCTTTGTGAATCATTAATTTCAACCAATACTCACAGCTGCTTAGTAAACTTCTGCCAAAGATAAATCTTCAGATTTTTTTCTTATTAGAACTCTAGATTAATATGTCTTTATCTCTCTTCTAACAATGATTCAGTGACTTGAAAACTTTTTATGTATGCAGTAGTGAATGAATTCTGTACTTACAGGTCAGGTTTGCTGTTACTAGAAATTGTGGAGTTGCGTTATTTGTATGTTTTATTATCCCTGTATTATGTATTGGTTTATTCCTTTGTACCACCGTGTGCAACTTGGTTTATCCCCAGTTTTCCCGCCTTGTCCTCCCTTCCCGCCTTTCCAGTATCTATCCATCACCCTGGAAGAGGCATTTTACCCCCCCGGGTGCCTTGTCTATCACTCGGTGCCCCTTCCCATCCATCCAGAAGCTTCTACTCAGGGCACCGGGTGATTGGGCGAGGACCTGGGGCTCCCCCCATATCCTTCCCCCATTGGACCCCACCATATCCCCCCATCCCGGAGCCACCCCCTATCCCTATCCCCATTGG